TAACTTTTGACTGTTCTTTACTTTTGAATACTCTGCATCCCATCATGGTGTGTGGGAGTGACTAGACGGGTAACCACTTGAAACACGGTGCACATACACCGAAAAGTAAGTAGGTACTAACTGGAGATATGCAGCCCAGGATCGAAAAGCTTGACTCTAATGATTCTATTAATATTACTAACATGGGATATTCACACTGACAGCCCGGGGGCCCTGGTATTCATGGTATGTATGTGTAATAAGAACAGCTAGTGTAAGGACGTTTTGTTTCATTAGGCTATGTGTGGTAGCTATATATGGTTTACTACAACACCGCAATTTGAATTCATCAGTAAAACGGATGCAGCTAAAAACAACTTCCGGAGGCAAAAAGTTGAACTTCCCTCTCTTCTCAAAAATATCATGAAATAGCTAGGTCCAGCGCAATTGCAAACTGACAGTTAGAATTAAACGAAAAATATGAATAATAATAATTAAACGAAAAAATATGAATAAAAGTATGAATAATAAAAGACGAACCCGGAAAAAAAGGTATGCATAGGGTGCTGGTAGGCGCTCGCGCTTGCTGCTGGTACGAAAAAATCACGGTATGCTGCTGTTGAAGCGACAGGATTTGTGCTGGTTGACGGTTGCGCTTGGATCGGAATCCCTTCACTCTTCAAACCAGGAATATATTTCGGATCCATGCCTGATGTGCCGGGACCACTGCTAGCGAGACGAGAGGATTTCGATGTCGAGCACTCCTGAAATTTATAATTAGAGAGACATGAACATCTGGCTAGAAAATATAGAACCAGGAGACGGTACTTCCGCTTTTTCGCTGATTCAGCTTAAAATAGGTTCATGAAGAATTAGACGTCAAATAGCACATCGACTATGCACAGCAATATGCCACTGAAACATTAAACTACCATGAAGGACGTCAACGAAATCGCATTTTTGTAACTTGTTAGGAACCATCGATTGCCATTTACCAGCTATCGCGCTGTCACGTAAAAATGTTTAACGAAAATAACCCCCAAACTGAGCTAGAAATTTTCCAATATTCCGAAGCCATTTGTTTAGTTTATATTTTACATGCACACTGTTTGAAAGCACTAATTTAATAACCCAAGCCAAAACGAACGTCACGAAAAGTCAGCGCCAGGTATTGCAGTACTGGATAAAGTAACAATAAAATAAAGAAAAAAGAAAATTGCATGCAGACGAATCAATGGTGGGCTAATAGCTGTTTGAGGTACCAAGTTTACCCAATGTAATCAAAATAATTATATTTTACTGTTCATTTTTATGCGTTTTTTGCAGTTATGCAATGCAGAAAACGCATACTGACGAGGGGTTGTCTGTGTGTCTGCATGCCTGTGTGTGCATCTGCCACGCACTTTCATCTCAGGACCTGTAAAAGCTGCGGGGCTGAAATTTCGGGAACTTATTCTATATGCACATGCCGGCTCCAACCCCCAAAATGGGCGCCAACACCCGCGCACGAGTCCGCCAAA